ATCTCCTGTTGAAGCCTGTTGGGGCAGGGAGAAAGGGGAAGGGAAGGTACCCAGCACAGGGCATGCTGTTTGGAAGACATCCCTTCCCCGCTCCTTTCAATAGGGGAGGGATGGGCTCTTGAAGTCATACTTGACCAGCTCTGATGGCTCTGGTGGTAGATGCAGATGCTGGGAACCCCTGTGCTTTCGGTTTCTGGGCCTTCTCAGTGCTGCCATAACTTTGGCACTGATATCCAGGCCTCCCCCACCTCCCTAAACTTTCTGTAGAGCCAACCAGACCCATTTTATTTCTTCTGACAAAAGTGAATGCTGTCTCATTTGGGGGGATCAGAATCCCAGGAGACAGCTTCGTGTAGAGTATCTCAACTTCCGCCTGGAGAATCTCAGCCTCCTCATTAATGGAGCGTTATAGAGTCAGTAGCCACAGGCTCTGAAATTAGACTTTCTGGGTTCAAATCCTGACTCTGCCACTTAACTTGCTCTATGTTCGAATCTCTGTGTGCCTTAGTTCCCTTATCTGTAAAATGGGTATGATAAGTATCTGTCCACCTCATGTGGTTGTTGTGAACCAAATAATCACTTAGAATAGTGTCTCATACATAATAGGCACTCAATAAAGTTTAGGAATTATTATCTGAAGGTGGTTGGGAAATATATTCTTTTTATATTAAGACAAGACACACGGGGTTTCCCTGGCCTGTGTGGCTCAGAGCATCATCCTGTACACCAAAGGTGGCGAGTTTGATTCCCCATCAGGGTACATACCCAAGTTGTGGGTTCAATCCTAAGTTGTGGCTTATGAGAAATACCGATGTTTCTCTTCCTGTCTCTAAAAATTAATTTAAACACTGAAAATAAAAATAAAATTTTCAAAAAAGATACACAGGGTTCTCTTCATAGTAGAGTGCAGTAGTTTATAGTACTTAAACAATACAAGAGAGACTTCAAATTTTTATGCTTGTAATGGGCACCCTGTTGGCCACCTGGTGTGGGAGTGCCCCCTCTTCTGCCAAGAGGCATTTTCTGAAAAAACTCGGAGCCGCACTCACTTGTCCTACTTAGGCTTCTCCTAATACTTGCTTCCTTTCCATGCCGGACAGATCGCTCTCGTATTCCAGCTGGTTTCAGAGCCTCTCGGCATTCTGAGCACCCTTCCTCGCACACTTCGATTTGTTAGTGTCTCTGAAAAACTTGGTGCCTGAGGGGACACCGTCCTCCAGAGCAGTATGGTAATACAGCTAGGGACTACCAGCCTTGTCTTTAAATCCCTAGCTTGTTTTCTCAGAATTTGTCCTTCCCTTTAATGCTATAGTTGGTTGGTTCTGTGTTGTTTTTTTAAGGAGAAAAACAAACACTAAAAAGAAACAACTGCAGTTCTCTATTCTCAGTCGGCTGCCTGTAGCCATTTGTTTTGGTGCAGGTGTCGGTGGCTGGGTTACTATTTTAAAAGACTGTAATTAGGGGGTTTACACTGAGTCACAATGAGGCAGCCTAACACCTACTGTCCTTTGTCATTTGTTACCTGCCTGGCATCGGGACCCCTATGGATACTTTGTTTTTCCCCTCTGTCTTATAAAAGGTCATTGTGTACATCTTCATTTAAAGTTTCTAACTTTTCTGTTTGGTTTCTCACAACCACCCTTGGCCAAGAACCTGGCTCCGACCATGATAGGAAAGAGCTTATTTCCCCCATCTCCCAAAATGCTTGCTTGATTATCTGTTTATTTATTGGCATCTACTTTCATTTTGTGCTCTGAAATGATGGTTGGGTCATTTGAAATGGCCCTTTTTGTAGGTTGAAATGGTTGAATAGCAGCGATTTTATTCTCATTTGTGGTCAAATTTAGGCACTTCAGATTTATAGAAATTTTATTGCTATAGCATTGAAGTGAAAGAAATTCCATTCGTAGCTGTTGAGGGAAAGCCCCAAAAGTCTAAATTCAGGATCAAGTCCCAAGAACTGACAGGTAGCCTTACTCAGACTCATAGGAGCTTTAATAGGAGAAACTTACATACACGGAGCAGGCAGCGGTCAGTGGTGGCCGGGAATAAGTCCACCCCCTCCCAGGACAGGGTCTCTGTTTATAGGGGGTTAACAGGAAAAGCATGTGGTGGGTAGTCACGTAGACCGCCAGCAAGAACAGTGCATTTCTAAGTAAGAGAGAACATCAGGCAGTTATCCTGATGGATATCTGCACTCTCTACAGTCATTAACCTCCTTCCTGGGGGCTTGACTTTTATCTTTGGGCAGCATTTCAGCTTTCTGAGTAGCCAGCCAAACCTGAGGCTACAGAGAGTCAGACGGTTGCAGAAGGTTAAACAGAGCCCAACATTTCCCAGGCGCCTCTGCTGCTGCAGACATACTGCATCTCTGAGCTCTACAGTGGCTGGAAATGATAGTAATGCAAGTTCAGAATGTGACATTAATTAAAACAAAATCATCTATTCTCACAGAGTATGTGACATATAAAAATGTCACTAGTTTTATTGGGAAGAAATGTTATAAGTAAAATAGTGGAGTATGAATACTAATTTCTGGTGTGTGGCAAACAAAAGAAACAAGACAGTCAAGGAGATGGTTTTGTCTAGGCTGTTGTAACAGGAAGATGTTCATCATTGGGAAACCTCTCAGAGGAGAAAATGTGGGGTTTTGTGAAACAAGGGAGTCGGTGAGGAAGGGTGGACATGGGTCCTATCTGAGAATAATACAGTCCTTCCTGGGTGGCCCTTTCTTGGAACACCTGTGCTCCTCAACCGTTTCTGATTTCTGGAAGCACAGGGCTCAGGTTTAACAGTGTCAAATGGAACAAGGTTGCTGATGCTTAGTTACGTTTATAAGTCACATGGAATGTACTCCATGGATTGAAAATAGGATTCAGAGGAAACTTACCAAAAGTTTTATTCATAACTTTAAATAACATGTAATTTTAAGTTAGAAATTAATCAGCCCTAACCATATACTGTTTGACCATATAGCTATCTAACTTTAGATTTTCATCTGTAAGTTGAAGGTGGAGGAGTTTAATGAATTTGAGTTAGCTCAGTGGTTTTCCATCTGGAGGCTTCTGTCCCACAGGGGAGTGCTGCCTAGTGGGTAAAAGCCAGGGATCCTACTTAAACCTCCTACAATGCACAAGGCAGCTCCCTCGCCACAAAATTATCCACTCCCAACGTTAATAGCATGAAGGCTGAGAAACCCTGATAGCCCATTGAAAAATGTTAGAGGAAAGCTGTGATCAAATTAAAAATAATTCTATGGTTTAAATCTGTATGGAAAACATACATTTTGTTTTTATGGCCTTAAAATAATGTTCTTGTTACCAACATTCCATTTTAGAATCAAGCAATCAGTGTTACCTTTAATTTAAGAGACTAAATGACTGAGTGGAAACAGATGCCTTTCCCTTGTAATATATGTAACACTTAACAATTTAAAATTTTTCTTTCCTGTTTTAGGTTTTACCAAAGACACACCTTAGGGATTTGTCGCATTTCTAAGACTCATATTTACCACTGGGAATTGTCAAACTTCTTAGAAGATATATTTTGGCGATCAAAATGAAAGATTTCTTTGAAGTTTTAGAACAATTATATAAGAAGGTACTTCTTGGAGCCCCACTTGAAAATGACAACCAGTATTACATCTCTTATCTCAACCCAGCATTTTCAGATCAAGATGGCTCCGCATCCACTTCCTCAGAATTTGAAAACACCCTTCGTGTCCGGGGCAAGTGCCAGCCATCCCCTGTCAATCCGTCCACCACTTCTGTAGCTCCTGTGTATCTGAACAGTGCCCGAGAAATAACACTCCTTCAGTTAACGGTGATCAAAGTGATGGTAACCAGAATACTGTCTGTCGAGACCGAGCTACAGGCAAAGGAGAAATACAGAGAAATCATTAAAATCCTCTTAAAATCATCTGACTTCAATTCTGAATTAGTAAGCCATTTGTTTTTTTGTAGGTTATATATATTTCTTAAGATCTAGATTTTTTTTAAAAAAAGTTTTAAAAACATTCAACAATAATAGGTAAATATATTTGTTTTCCTACAGACCTGTATGTTCCAAAACTTGGATAAACTGTTATCTCACATGGCTGCAAAATGCCTTGCACTGCTTCTGTATTTCCAATTGAAAGAAAAGGTAAGTCATCAAACTATGTCATTACTTTTCTAGTTTCTTTAAAATTGCTCTTTGGCATCTAGTTTCACCCTTCAAATATTTGTGTCAATAACCTGTTTGCTACCATAATAAACTGACTTGTATCAAGGATTAGAGTCTTAAATGTGTTGTAACTCATTGGAAATCAGACTCTTAACGGGGGTGAGGAGGTGTCAGGTCAGCGAGTCTGTAACTTCAGATTCTCAAAGGAGCAGGTGGGCTTCCTTCCTCCCCTCCAAAAAAAGGTTTAGGAACCCCTGCTTGAGACCAAGACTGTTTTAGTATAAATTAATTCTAAGAATGGTCCTCAGCATAATGGAAAAAAAAAGAAATTGAGCATCAGATTTTTCTTTTATCTCTGAATTAACTAATAACCAAACCTAAGCACCTACTGACTTTCAGTGATAAATGCTTGTTCCTCCCTGAAAATAACATTTTTTTTCCTGAATACAAAAAGGTGGTATCTGCAGTAGAAGATTTGGAAAATGAGAAAAAGTATAAAGAACAAAATAAAATTTACATCTTTCACCACCTAGAGATAAGCACTGCTGATGTTTAAATGTTCCCTTTTGGTCCTTCTATGACATATTAAGACTTTTGGCTTAAAGAGTATTAGGATATTTGTGTCTTTGTTTTAACAACTAGTACCATACTTTTAAAAAACAATGTTGTCTAGAGTTGTAGGGTATATAATAGGTGATTTGTAATCATAAAGAAAATACTGTATCATAACTTACCACTTTTTAAAATTCTCTCACTTGTAGATAACATTTAGTAATTCCTGGATTGCTTTTTGCCAAGAAAATCTTTCTGAATACTCTGAAAGTGATACGGTATTATACTGCCTCTGGACTCTTACTGCTGTAATGAAGGAAATCCTTAAAGATACATCTTCGCAAAAAACAGGTACGAATTTGAGTGCCCCATAAACGGCTGTCATTACCTTGCTCCCAAGGAGAATCGTATTTATAACAAAAAGTAAAATTTACTTTACAACATCTCATCTGTCTTGAAGTATGAAAAACTTAAAGCATCTCGCCCTATATTTTTTGACTGAGGATATCTTTTTAAGAGAAAAAAAGTTAAAAGCTTTTTATTGTTATTAAAACTTAAAATTAAGGCTTTTCATTATTATATATCCCCGGCATGGTCTGATGCTATGGTTATTTGTGAAGCGGATGTTAACCAAAGTTATTGGCTGTTAGCCTGTGTATCTTCCTTCAGTAAAAAGTTCACATTAGAGCTGAAAAATGGAAATCCATTTTTTTATCTTGTAAAGTGGTAACATTTATAAAAATTGATTTGTAAAAGTGTGTTTTAAGAGGGCTCTGTTTTTCCTGTTGTTTATAATTACTTTTTTTATAATTGCAGAAATTCTAAAGCAGTTCCTGACTCCTTTTGACACTCTTTTTGAAGACTTTTACAATTCCTTATTTTCTCAGCATTTTGCAAACCTCCAAGACACTTCTAAAATAGTAAACAGCTTGCTGTGTTTTCTGGAATTGCTCGAACTTCTTATAGCTTCCAGAATCCACCAGGAATTAGATTTCACCTGCCAGCGGATTTTATTTCTGAAACCTTCTTGTGTGCTAGATGTGATTACATGGCCTGTTCAGGCTTTTGTCAAAAGGAAATTCCTCATATTCCTTAAAAAATGCCTTCTCTGGAAAGTGGGCGAAGACCTTCGTTGGGGATCTGTCGCTGCCTTAAAATCACCAAATCATCACTTAGATGTGGACACGCTGGCTTTAGCTGATGCTGTTTTGCAGGCTGTGGATTCGGGCTTATTGAGGACATTGTCTGTCCGTGGAAAACCTTCCTGCTTTGGAGGCAGTGATGTTCCACCTGGATGTGAGCATCCTTCTGGTCCAGATCATGTGATCCTTAGAGCAGCGAGCTTGCTTATCCTTAAATCCTTAGAAATCAAGTTTCAAAATTGTACTTCAGCCAAGGAAATGAAAGGTAACTCTCCCAGCTCCTTTTGTAGTCCAAGTAATGGTAATTACTTAAGTAAAATTATTCATAATTATCAAGTCTCAGAACTATAATTCTGCTAATTTAAGCTACATGTATTCCTAGTAATAATGTATCAGATTTTCTTCAAAAAAGGAAAGAATTCCTTTAAGAAACATCAATTTTTTGTGGTCTAAAGTGAATTTGCATAATTAATGACTAAGGTTAAAAAAATAAGTAGGTGCTGTTAAGTCACTGCCAAGTAGGTGATATAAATCAATTCATAGGTATTTCATATTTTCATATTTTCCTTCATAAAATTGATATAGCTACTGATGTACATTATTGATAAGTAGGAATTGAATTGATACTAATATGTGAAATGTTATATTGATGAAAAGAAATTATTGCATATAATTTCCAGGGTGTTAATTCAGAGTCCAAGGACAGCCATTTAAAGTGTGATATTCAGTTTAGGTGTTGGGAAGACATGTCCTCCTTTTCACCTGAGAAAAATGAATTAACGTAGCTAAACAAGCAGCATATAGTTTCAGTGAAAGGTCTCATCTATAAGCAGTGACTTCACTGAATTGCTTTGGGCACCATTTAGCTGGTAATAACTATATATTAGATATCGTTCTGTGCAGTTATAATTTACAACACTAGGTGGCATGTGTTATATAATTCAGAGTTCTAAATTTCAGTTAAAGCTTCCCAAAACCTGTTTGATTTTTGTGCTTAAGAGTAGTACTTTCTTTTAATGCTTTAAACAAACAAAAAATTTTGATATTTTGAAAGAAAAATTATTTCTGTTGTGTTGCATTGTTGCTACTAGTAACACATAGCTGTGGCATCCAGTTATTTCTGTTGTCTACTGCTCACTCATTTATATGCTTTTTGCAAGAATTCTAAGCAAAGATAAGTAGCTAGTTGTCAGGTGTAGCAAACAGACAATCTGACTGTACATTTTAACGGTATTCTATTGAGTGAGTCACTTTTTTCTCTCAAGCTCAGTTTCCTAATTTGCAAAGTAGAGATGATCCCTAACTTGCAGACATTTTGAAAGTGTGAATTATAACAATGCATTTTTAAAGTATTTCAGATACTATCATGTATGCAGGCAGGTAGGCAAGATACGAATATGTTCATACATTGTTGCCTGTGCTTTGAAACTTTCATGTTTTGAAGTTGATTTACAGAGGTTCATGTCGGAGTTACTGACCTTCTTAAAGCCTCGCCTTCAGCCCTCTCTGCAGTCACACAATCCATGTGAGTGGCTGTCTAGGGTCTTCATAGAACAAGATGATGACATGCTGGAAGCCGCCAAAGCATCATTGGGCATCTACCTAAAGTTGACCAGGTTCGTATATTTTGAAGTCATTGAAGTTAACTACGTGCCAGGAAAGCAGAAAACATTTTTAATACTGTTCTGGACCTGTTATTTACTTTCCATCATTAGGAGAGAAAAAAATCCCTAACAATCTTGTGGTTTCCTTAGAAGTTTCAGTTCTTTTCTTTAACTCTGCCCTACGTGAAAATGAGATGACATTTGAGTTCCCATTGGAACACGTGGTTGGCTGGCGAGGCAGACCTGGGGCAGCACAACTATCCTGGGATTAGCAAGCACGGGCTCTGGTTGCGGCTCCATCTCTGTGCTTCCCGTGTGATACGGAGCAAGTTAATGCCCTTGTCTAAATCTTAATCAAACTGATGCTTAAGAACTCTTTTTACCTCTGAGACTAACTTCTGTATATGGAGCTTCTACAAGGTGATGTTTGCCTTTGTAAAGGTGACTACACACTTGTAAGTCATCAAAGGAGCTGCTGTTCTAAGTTGTCATTTTAATACACAGTTGAACTCGGGCCGATACCATCTCGAGACAACTGCCTGAAATTGATTATGAAGTTACGTTACCGATGACATTTTATACTGATCCTATTTCTGCTTTATGAAAACAGCTGTACTTGGGGCAATATCTTCTTGTGGCGAAAATCTGTAATTGGTTATGAAGTTAATAACTGATGACCTTGTACACTATTTCTGCTTCTGCTTTATTGAAGCCCTAAAGTATGTGCTTTGTTTCCATTTCTTTCTTGGCTTCAGAGAAGGGCCTTTCTTCCTAATGATCGTCGGTGCAGTGCTGCGCTGCCAGCTCTCACTTGTGTTATGACACTGCTGGCAGGGACTGCTTTCAGACTGGAAGTGTTTGGGGCCAATTTTCGAAAGGTTCTAATCAAGAGCACAGAATTCCTGCATGTGATTTGAATTAGGCTCAGAAACGGTCAACTACAAATTCAGGCTGAATGCACATGCCTTTTAGAATAATCTTACTTGTGCTCAAAGCCGACTGCTAACTCCTCGGGAAAGAGGAAGCCTCTGAATTAAATTCACTCTGTGTGTGAACTTTTTTTTTTTTTAATATGTCTTTATTGATTTCAGAGAGAGGAAAGGAGAGGGAAAGAGAAACATCAAATGATGAGAGAGAGTCATTGATCGGCTGCCTCCTGCCGGCCCGGCACTGGGGATCCAGCCCACAGCCCGGGCATGTGCCCTGAACGGGAATTGAACCCTCATCGCCTGGATCATAGGCCAGTGCTCAGCCGCTGAGCCAGGGCTGGCTGGGCTCTAACTTTCTTAACTTCAGTTCAGTGTGTCCAGAGAAGCAAGTGCATGTGTCATACGTATTATTTTAAAGGTGATTGTATTAGTTAAGACTGTTTGGCTCTAAAGGATAGAAACCAACACAAACTAGTCTAGGCAAAAAATGGAATTTATTGGTTCTTAATTGGGAATTCTAGAGGGTCAGGTTGGCATCAGGCATAACTGTACCTGTCGGGATTCAGGTCATGTCACTGATTATTGCATTTCTCTGCCTCACAACCCCGACTTGGTCTGTAGGCAGGACCCCGGGCGGGGGCCAGCCCTGCTGCTGCCTCGCAGTTACCGCCTTTAATAGCTCCGCGGGAGTCCAGGAGAGAGCTGATTGGCTGCCTGGCTCACAGACTCCTGTCTGCACCAATCATGGCGGCCAGGCGCTCTGATTGGCCAGTGTGGGTCACGTGCCCACCCCTGACCAGGAGGGGGGAGGGAGGCTAGGCCCCCCCTGGACCCTGCCCCCACCCGGTGGCTTAGTGGTCACCGTAGGAATGAAGAAGTCTGACGTCAGGGGGGAAGACGAGTCCTGAGCAGACAAAAACTAAAACTACAAGTCAGGGGATTTTGTTTATTTTATTGAGTCAGATTAATAATAGAGTTTGTGGTGAAAGAGATTGGCTTGAAATTTTTTCTTTTAAATAATGCATAGATTAAAGAGGAACATGGTAGGCGAATTTATCATGTGTGAATTATATCTGCCAAAACGTATTTTTGTAAAAAGTCATTAATTCGGGGTCTCCATTATCTTTATTTTCAGAGAACATGAAGCTGCTTACAGCTTGCCCCAAGAAAAAGAAACATGGGACCATCACACACATGAAAATGGCTATAACCCTCATTGTATTTTTTTATTCTTTTTGAAAAATATAGGATTTGATTCTATAGTTCTTCTTGACTTTTTGATTTCATCAGAAACTTGTTTTCTTGAATATTTTGTCAGATATTTAAAATTATTGCACAAAGACTGGGATACATTTTTTACCATTTGCAAATACTTTGATGTAACTGAATGTAACGATAGCATAAATATTTGTGGTCGTACCTCCTCATTTGTCCAAGACAGAAGCAGCAACCACAGAGAATCTAGGCCTTTGACTGCTCTTGGCAGTCACAGGAACTCTCATGCCTGTGTCTCCTGGGTGACGGCAGCTTCTTGTGAACCACTGAGCCAGGTCATGATGTCCCGGGAGAGCCACGCTACACCCCAGGCTAGTTGTCGGTCTTCCCTGCAAGCCCCTCAAAGTCTGGTAGATTATGACAGCTCTGATGATTCTGAAGTAGAATCCACAGATCCCTGTTTAGCAGATAATAAACAGACATCTTTATACCAAGAAGCAGCGAAGGAAATTCAGGACACAGTTGGAGCAAGTGGGGAGAAAAAAGAACTCAGCCTAGAGCTTCAGTCAATGCCTATGGTTCCAAAAGAATCTAATACTCCTTTCTCTGTTGACTGTGACATAGCCCCAAATAACACTGTCTGTGAAGTGGGAATATCTTACAGAACAGTAAAATGCTTTGAAGAGCTACAAGGTGCCATTTCCCGTTTTCAGAAGAAAAATCTTTTCCCGTATAACCCAACAGCACTTTTGAAGTTGTTAAAACAGATCGAGGCAGTATGTAAAAAAAGCATGAACCCTTTGTAAAACAGTGGCATTTTATTTCCAGGAACTGTGTTGCCTTAATGGGATAATAATAAAGAAGAAAACCTCCAAAGGGTTTTCTAAATTAAGTCATTCTTTTTGCCTATTGGAAGCAGCCTAGTAACTTAAAAAGATGTATGAAATGACCAATCACTTGCTATAGTTTTATACCACTTGAAATGGTTATTGTATTAGTTTGTTAGGGCTACTATAACAATTTACCACAAACTCGGAGGCTTAAAACAACAGAAATTGATTCTCTCATAGGTCTGGTGGCTAGAAGTCCAAAATCAAGGTATCAAGAGATGGCCATGCTTTATCTCAAGACTCCAGGGAAGAATTTTCTTCCTCCTCTTAGCTTCTGGCAATGGCAGGCAGTCCTTGGTGTTCCCTGACTGGTAGCTGCATCAGTCCAATCTCTTCTGCCACTGTCGCATGTTTGTTTTCCCTGTGTATGTATTTGTATCCAATCTCCCTCTAATAAGGACACCAGGCATTGGATTAGGACCCAGTCTCATCCAGTATGGCTGCATCTTAACTTGGTTACATCCACAAGGTACTTATTTCCAAATAAGGCCACATTTCCAGCTTCTGGGTGGACATGGATTTGGGGGGATGCTAACCCAGTACAGTTATTTCCTCCAGACTGTGATATGTAAAAAATAAATATTATCAGTGTTTTTTTAAAAAACGGTTAATCCCTTGGTAATTTTCCTATTTAAAAATCTGAAATGTCCTCAATTTTTAAAAAAATGATCATTTTGTAGAGAAATGTAAGGAAGACCACCTACTAGACATTAAGGACTAGTAATCAGAACAGATTCGCACTTATTTGGGTAGAAATGGGAAAATCAGTGGAACAAAATAAAGGGTTGCTAATTAAAATAACAATGAGATGCTGATGTCAACCAAATAGAAAATGCAGTCAAAGAGTTTGATAATGGTGTTGGGGTATATATTGGGGCAGTTTCTAAATAAATGAATGCAGTACTGTATATTCAGCTGTGGTCAATGCTACATTGTAGATGCAAAAGACTAGAAATATCTGGTTAAATAATTGGAATACTACATACTTGTGTAAAGAATGAGCTGTATTCATGTTTACAGATATGAAATGTGAAGTAAAAAATGAATATACTGGGCTTCCACTTATATAAAAAAGAAGGTGGGGCAGGAGCAACATACACAGATTTATATATGTTTTTGTGTGTTTATAAAATATGTAAGAATATATAGGAAAGTTGTAACGGGTTGCCTTGGGAAATGTGAAGTAGGAGATTGGACTTCTCATTATATATCTTTGTTTACTCTTTATTTATTTTTAACTGTGTACATACTTTTTTTTTTTTCAGTGAAAACAACTTTGTAACAAAAAAATGCCATGACCAACCTGATTCTTTATGTTTCCAAGAGTGCATAAGTGTTGAGTGCATTAAAAGTCATGCTTGTACAGATATGTTTTTGACACATGTTTCTCTATAAGGTTAATAAGGAACCATGAGCCCCTTGTTATATCTAAAATGAGAAAAAGCCAATCTTATAGAGATGCCGAGTGTTGGTGTTTCAGAGTCTCCACATGTACAGCCTACCCTTGGGTATAAGTCAGTTCACTGCACGCATGAACCCCACTATTGGTGAAGGTCACTGGCACTGGCTATGCTTTAACTCCCCTTAGCCACTCAGAGTATACAAGAGCTGTTCTGAGTTAGTCCCTAAAGGAACACAAAACCAGGGGTATTTGCCCAGTCTGTACCTCTACCTCAAGCTTATGTGCATCCAAGTGGGCACACAGTTAATGAGCCTGCTTTATTGTTTTAAAATACAGCAGATACAGCAACGTACACAAGTAAGTATACGACTTCCAGCTTGATGAGTTTTCACAGACAACACACCTATGGAACCAGTACCAGATCAAGAACAACGTTTCTGGCACCCCAGAAGTCCGCCTCGCATCTTCTAGTCACTATCCATCCGCCCATAAAGGTAACCCTATCCTGAATCAAGACAACATAGATAAATGTTGCCTGGTTTTGTCTTTTATATAAATGGAATCCTAGAGTATGTGTTCTTTTGTGCCTGGCTTCTTTAACATTATTTGGGAGGGTGTTCTCATTTATTTTTCAAATGATTGTCAAGTCTGCTTTTCAGCTATTAAACTTCCCAAAATTGTCTCCGGCACTCCCTGTGTGCTGGAATGGCGAGATTGACAAACAGGGCTTGAAACAAACTACAGACCCAAACAGGTTATGCAGGGTCTTGTGCAATGGGCCCCAACCTGCTCCTCTAGCCTGTGGCTCTCCCCACCCACTGTCTTAGCAGCACCACCTTGGGTTTCTCACCTGTTCTTTCATCAAACCCCGTCTTTCATGTTGGATCTGTAAAGCCTTCCCCGTCTGTTTTGAGGTATTAAGTCTTACTTACTGTGCTCTTTCCTGTATTGTAGCATTTGTCACATTGTATTTTAATCATCAGTCAACAGTCTCCATTTGCCAAGCTCTTTACATTGTCTCTTGTGAACAGCATCGTGTCTGTTCTAAGCACATGACAGATGCTGAGTAAATAAGAGTTCCCTTTCCATGGATTTTTCTTTCCTACTGGAGCACACAGGTATGCAGAGACTTAAACTCTTTAACCCCCACATTGCACGTCCTACGTGCCAGCCATTGTTCCAGGTGCTCTAACAATCCTCCCAATAATGCTGGAGGGCAAGGTCCTATTATGATCCCTGTTTCACAGATGAGGACATTAAGTAACTTGCCCAACATCACCCAACTGGTAACGTGGCTGAGACCAGAGAATGGATCCAGGTTCCAGCCCCCTCTCCATAATTGATTGTCCTCAAGACAGAGGGTGATGCACTATTAAAACTGAAATTACGGCAGCTTTGGGTGTGTGTGGCGGGTGGTATGAGAGGTCATACTAGAAAAGGTGTATTGGGGTCATCACCCAAGGCCTTGGGTATTATGTGAGGAGTTTTGACTGTTCTGTGGGCGGTGGAGAGCCAATGAGGTTTTTGAGTAAATGACTGGTTTTGTGTTGAAGTGACTTCAGTAGTAATACAGGGTGGGGCAGCCCGGCCGGTGCGGCTCAGTTGGTTGGGTGTCATCCTAGGCACCAAGCAGTCACTGGTTACATTCCCGGCTGGGGCACATGCCCAGATTTCGGGCTTGATCCCCAGTAGAGGGCATGTAGGAGGCAGCCAATTGATGTTTCTCACATCGATGTTTATCTCAGCCTCTCCCTCTAAAAAAATATACATGTATATATCAATAAAAACATTTCAAAAAAATAGGGTGGGGCAAAAGTAGTTGTGAGTATGCAAAACAGTTTATTCTTGTATGATTATGTATTTATATATTGTTTTCCATATGAACAATTGTAAACCTATTCTTGCTCCACCCTGCAGATTGGCCAAGTAGACAAGTAGGAAGGTTAGGGTCCCGCAGAAGTCCCACTGGAGTCAGGGGCACTGGGAATGGAAGAGAGATGTAGGGCCCTCTGGCCGAATGCCTGTACCAGGCTCTCCCTCCAGAGACCCACTATGGTGAGCAAAGGGGCCAAAATCAAGAGCAATGAATCATCCAGGGACTGACTTAGCTGCCCAAGGAAGCCCTCAGCGGGGTTTGGACTGGGGGGCACCAGGCACAGCCAAGGACAGGCCTAGCACACTAAATATGGGGTTAAATCTCCACACTGTGAAACCCAGAGTGGCAGACCTCACCCCTGTGCATAGAGCTTCTAATTCTAATTGGCATTTTACGTGCCCAGCTCTTACACAGGAGTGAGCAGCTGGGGATCATCAGGCATTTGGGGAAAGTCTCTAACATTTTACCAGCCAAAACAAATGAGAGATTAAGCAAGGAGGTTAATCTGTTAATACAATCAGAGATCGCTGGTTATAAAAGTTACATAAAAGAACATTCTGTGCAGAAAAGAAACCTCATAAGTGGATAATACGATAACAGAAACTAAACGGTCAATAGAAATGGAGTGAAATTAAGTTGAGGGAATCTAGAAAGTATAGCAACAGGACAAAGAAATTGGAACAGAAGAGAGAGAAATGATAAGAAAACTTGGGGACCAGTCCACAAGGTTCAGTAACTGAATAGTAGAAGTTTCACAACGAGAGAAAAGAGAAAATGCAGGAGAGAAAGTACTAAAGAAATTTAAGAAAATTTCCAGAACGGAAAGACTCTGAGTCTTTAAACATATAACCGAGAGGGGGAAAAACAAAACACCCTGCATTTTTTAAAAGAGGGAGAGGATCCTCTTTGAGTCATGTTTTCACTTTCATGGCCGCTGCTGTGTAAGGAAACAGGCAGAAAGTCTGACGAGGAAGAAAACGAATTCAGCTTTCACCTGAGTAACCTCAGGCACTGTCATCAGGACATGCTGACATCCAGCAGAGAGACAGGAATCCTATGTTGAAAATTAGGGCAGCGTTACAGCAAAACCTAGGAGTGATAGAAAATCGTGGGGGGCGGTATGGTGGCCCTGGGACTAGAGAGAGGAGGGGGAAAGGCCCCAAGAGGAGAAGGGACATGAAAGAAATTACACTGGTAGGAAAACAAGAAATGCTGGCAGGAAGCAGAGAGGTTCGGTAGGTAGGTAGGTAGGGCTTTGAGAAGGAAAGTGTGTGTGGAGTTTGGTATGTCTGGAAAGAAGCCCCTGGGCGCTTTGACCATTAGGAGGCAGTGGGTGACATCTGAGGGCAATTTTAGTTGGACCCAAGTGCGCGTGGGAGCCACAAAAGGACAGTGGTTTTCAATTTATTTGTGTTCCCTGTACCACCTGAATACTGGGAATTTTTGTGTGGCACCTTTGAAATGATAGAAAGGCTGAAAAAACCACACCATCACAGTCAGCAACAATCTGCACCCTGTCACCAAAGGCAGCGTTCCTGACACCAGGCCTCACTCGGGCTCTGGCCTGTCCTCCTGCGCCTCCCACCCCTTCTCCAAGCACACGGGGCCCACTGCGCCTTACACGCCCCACTTGGGCAGCAGTCAACAGGCCTGAGCTGCCCAGGTGTTTGGAAACTTGACCTAAATACTGAACTTGAATTGGTCGCCTCGCTCATGACAATGTATAAAATTGTGTCGCTTTGTTAGATAGAATACCTTTCTTGAAAATTGTGGTCGATAAAAATGCCTTTTCTGTTATTGTAGGTCAGCCTAACAAACCAATTCTAATTTTTTCTGGTCATTCTAAGGAAGATGGAGCTGAGCAAAGCTGTCGAAGCCTTTACAGTTAACACCATGCGCTCCCTTCTAATTACAAAGCTCACTAGTATATTATTTAAGATACGGGAAAAACAGTGATCTTCCTTCTCAATTTGCCATTGACATTGAGCTTTACTAAGTAGTCTGACTAGACCGTAGCACAGTTACTACACTGGATAGAATACGGGTGTGTGTCTACTCGGCATTGCATGCATTTTTCCTTTTGGGGGCTTTTCTTTGTTTCCAAAGGAAGCACAGTTCTCTGATAATTTAGAACTGGGAAATAAAATGTGATCAGAGTATGATTTCCTATTCAGTGAGAAAGGTTCAGGTGTTTCCATCTGGTTTGAGACAAGAGTTTACATTAGAGGTGTTTTCTAGGAGTGGTATTTGGGATTACCTGTGTCCTCATGCCAGTGTGTGTGTGTGTATGTGTGTGTGTTAAGTGTCTTCTTCGGACATGTTTGTCCGTTGAGTCCCATAAAGTGAACACACCTCAACACATTCATGTTCGCTTATGACTGTGTTTTTTAAATCGCTCAGTTATCATAAGGATGGGGAGGTTTCCCGCAGCTAAACTTTTTTCATTGGCTGAGACGAGTGTATATTCCGTTGTCTAAATTTCTGGGTATTTTTGTTTGTGTTTGCTCCTTTCTATAAAACCTAAAACTGTAGTATAGCCTGCTAGTGTAAAATAGAATTGTTTTTTTTGTCCTGGCCAGTGTGGTTCAGTGGTTGGATAAAGATACGTGTGTGTGTCCCATGCACCAGGTGGTCATGGGTTCGATTCCCAGTCAGCGCACATACCTAGGTTGCAGGTTTGTGTGGGAGGCAACCAGTTGATGTTTCTCTCTCACATCAGTGTTTCTCCCTCTCTAAACGCAGTTTAAAATATCTTAAAATAGAGTTGGAATTTTGACTGTCAGTTTTCCTGTCAATTTAAAAAAAAAAAATTTTTTTTCTGATTTTGCTTTTTCCCCCTCCCCACGATAAAGAGAAAAATCACTTTTGACGTCACTTACCGTTCTTTGCTTGGATGTGGCATATGCTCTCTTAATTGTATGTCACTTTTAATATGCAGAATGAATGATTTGATGATTACATGGAAGGGAAGATGAGTGGTGAACAGGAAAATAAAATTAATTGCCAATAACTTTCCCACTATATGGGTGAGTTTTATTACAAACTAAGTGTGGAATCAGAGTAACCTTTAGGAGTAACCACAGATAACC